AAATTTTTCAGAAATTTAACTTTCTCTTCATAGAGTCCCAATGGAGAAGGATGAAAAAAAAAAAAAAAACCTAACCTAGAAGAATCCCAAACTGAACAGCTTATCCTTTTTCAGAATATGTTCACTCAGTGTCTCTAAGCCCTTTCTACTGTTTACTAATCCCTTCCTTCTGCCAGCCCCCACCACTGGGAGCGATTGTCCACCTAATGCAGAGCAGACCATGCCAGTAAGCTCCAGCCAAATTCAAACCATTAGCTGTAATGTGTCTACCACTAAAGTGTCTGCAAATAGCTGTGAAATCCCAGAGAATTAAGCTTGAACATTAAATGTCAGAAACTGGCCTCTTGATTTTTATTTGCATATAACAGCTCACTGGAACACATTTGATAACTGAGAAACTGCAGCTGTAACTGTGCAGCGGAGCTCTGTGCCTTCCAGACTGTGACAACACCTTCCTCACAAGTGTGCCCTGCATTCCTTTCCCATTCCCATCAGAATCAGGAGAGGGGGTCAGTCTTGCTGGTGCACCTCTTGGACTGTCGTTTCCCTCCCCAAATTGCACTCACAGGGCTTCTGCTGAAAGTCCAGTGACACAGCTACAGCTCTGAGGTGGCACCGTGTGTTCCCCACGAGACCACCTAAACAGCTCACTGTGTATCCCTGCTCACAGCTGAGTCTTCTCAGCACCCAACACCTAACAGCACCTTTCCTGTTCTCTCCTCATACAGCATCATAAGCTACCTGATCCTTGCAAAAAAAAAAAGAACATCTTTCTCAGCAGGTGTCCTGAGCCCCCCAGGAAGTGTTTGCTGTTCTCTGTTTGCAGATCTCTTCTCATTTATCAGGCCAGCCTGGTCACTCATCACCTCCTGATGTTAATGCTCAAAGATAGGGCCACTATCTTTGCACTTTGAGTGCAAGAGTGGCAAAGCTGTCATGCTCCAGCTGGGCAAAAGTGGAGCCTCACTCAGTAAATATTGACACGTCTGCAAGCAAACAGAAAGCAGCTTTCAGCAAGTGGCTCTCTGGCTCCCTGAGCTGATGCTGGACCAGAGACGCTCGATGCTTTGTGGTTATRAGCTGCTGTTTACAGAGGGCAGGATACAGGAATGGATCTCCAGCAGCTGTGATGACAGTGGCAAATTGATGGACTCACAGGAGCCACCAGCTGCATGCCCACTGCCCACCTGCAACAAGAGGTTGCAACCGCTTTAGCTTCTGGAAAAATGAGCTGTCTTTTTCATCCCTCAGCAACTTCCAGACAGGCTTTCTTCAAGAGGATATTCAAGACAGTCTTCATTAAAAAATAGGTAGCTCAAACCAGGTTTTTGTTCAAAGTCTTTAGTTCCCCTGCACTTCTRTCCTTAAAATACTGCCCTTAGTATTTAGGTGGTTATTGCAGCCCCTGTAAATTGTCAGATTTAGRCAAGTCACAGGTACAAATGAGTATAATCTGAGTCCTTCACTTACACTACTCAAATCTACAGATGGATCTACGGAACTGATTAGCCAGTCATCAGCAGCATTCTTACCACTTACAAAAAMTACAAATTAACCTACATGTGAATCTGGGAGTTTTATGCTCCCATTCAGACTATTGCCTGGTAGCTATATGACCACATTCCCCGCACAGGTGGAGCAGAGTCTTATTTAACAAAGAGATGGGATTGCAAGCAAAGGCTAATGATGGATTGGGTTCACTTCCTGGCCCACCCTCTCAATGATTTYGAGCAAGTTATTTGATCTCTTAATGCTCTAGTTCCCATACATGAAAAGGAAGTGATAATGCTTTCTCTCTCCAGCTCTCTTTTTTTTTTTTATCTTCTTTGACTGAAAGCAATTTTGCTTTTTTT